GAATATTATATCGGAAGAACACTTGTACTTTATGAGAGTACGTGTTAAGCCTCATTCAGTAGGTAAAGTGTGAAAAATCTGAAGAGTACGTGTTAAGCCTTATTCAATAGATAAAGTGTGAAAAATCTGATTATTAAAGTGTGATTAAAATCTGAGAGAAATGAAAATCTAGTAAAAAAATCAATAGTTTATGACTTCAAAATTATTATTGTAGAATAGTATTAGTAAACAAAATGTATTAGAATATCAAAGTTTTGTCAAAAAGATTTTGCTTGCTTTCACTGAGTTGTTTTGTGACTTGTACACCAGGTTTTGCTTATCGTTCAAACATATTATAGTTCTTTTCTTGGCGGTCTGAGGCAAACGTTATAACTAAGGTGGAGACTCTTGCAGGTTACCAAAGCTGATAGCGAATTCGTGTACTATATAACATGGCGCAGAAGATATTATACCTCTTTACAAGTTGTTTTAAACATGGCAGCAAGAAACATATAATAATGTATAACGCTTCAGCCATTAGCAGGATCCTTAAGCTATGAAATGGTATCACGATAGCATTAAAATAATCTAAATTATTTTATTCTTTATTAGCCTAATACACTAAAAACATTGCAGTGACATTCCAAATGCAATTTAATTTTTATGTTATAACGGGTGTAAAAAACAAAACAATATGCCACCGGTATTCACTACACTTAAGAACTTTGAGTGGAGCCATAACGATATTGATAGAAGTTCTACATCAGATTTATATAATACAGTTGAGGGAAATGAGACTTGAACTATTTTTTTAGTCGAAATAATATGAAAATATTTTGAACATGAAACTTAAGTGTTACAAAGGTATTGTTAATGGAAATTCGTAGGATAATTTAACAGTACTTTTTCAGATCAGTACTCTTAAACTTTAAACAATAGTATCAATAAATAAGTAATGAACTGAAAACATGTAACGTTTCGACATTTTCGTAACGCGATCTGCATAAAGCTTAAAGATTAAAACAAAATAGGTTCAAAACAAATTTATATTTAAAGAACTTTTATTGTCTTTCCATTGATTTTTTGTCGAGTGTATTGGGAAAAGCCAGAATAGACGTATACATAGAGATGAAGACTTTTCCAAATATTCTTTTAAGTTTTTAGTTCCAGTGTAAGTTCAAGGACAGAGAGAGTTAACTTTTTACGTTGTTTTAGTTCATTGAAAGCTCTGTAAAGAATTTGGAAATGTTTTATTCCAAAGGGAAATTACATTCTCCATGCACGTGGGTTTCGTACAGAGCTATAAATGAACAAGAAGAACGCAAAAAAAAAACTCTTACCATCCTCGAACATAAACCGGAGCTAAGCTTAAAATATGATAAAAATCGTTACCTGATACATAACCGTAACTGGACTTTTTCCAGTAAAGTTGAAAAAAAAAGAGACAATGAAGAGAAAACAGATATATGCTCTTTTAAATATAAAATTGTTTAAAATAAACTCTATGTTAATAATCAATATTAACATACATAACACTTCAAGGAAATATGGAAATTCAAGACACCGAAATATTATATAATGCAAACTATATCATAGGTCAACAAAAGAATAGTCAATATACATGACATTTGAATCACACCAGAATGAATGGATGTCATGACATCCCTCTTTTAATCTCTTTTATTTCCAAACTGTTGAACATTGCTTACTTATAAGTCCTGGTGTTAATTTTGATCTCCTGTAGAAGGACTCGAGATTTAGTCTATTTGATTAATTTTGGTACTTCTAAGCATGGGAAGAAACAATTGATTTTTCTCTTGTTTCCAAAATAGACATTTTACTTGTATTCTTTCTTAATCCACTTACTTTAAACCTATGCTTGCCGAAGATTTGCCTGACCGTATATATAGTGTGTCTTTCTCAAAAGGAGTGGTAGTTCTGACACTGATCCCCTAGTACTTTATGTAAAACTAAGTATTAAAATTAAGCACGTTACTAATTCGATGAAAAGAACTGAAGATGTTATTATAAAAGCCGATTACGTGACTCCGAAAAAGACAAAGCGAGATTGTCAACTGAAGCAGAACATTTACAATCAGCACTCTAGCCTCAGTCAACAGTTTGTTCATCTCTAGTGCTACAAAGAAGAACATCGAAAACTTCAAAAACGTAAAGAAGAAAATTAACCTTTAACTCTTGTGTTAAACTACGAACAGTAATTCTGAACCCAAATAACAGAGCTCTTAATGATTTTCATCAGCATATCTTATCAAAAGACTTAACTTATGCAATTAATACCCGTCAAAAACTCTACTCCTATCAGAACTAATAAGTGTTACATAAGATGTTGCAAGTAAAATAGTCTGTTATTTCACTGGCAACATCTTCATCAGTTTGGTCTGTTAAACTGATGAAGATGTTGCAAGTGAAATATCAGACCAAACTGATGAAGATATTGCCAGTGAAATATCAGACCAAATTGATGAAGATGCTGCAAGTGAAATAGTAGAGCAAACTGATAGTTTGAGATTGAAGTTATTCGAAAAGCAAAAAGAGATTTTGCTTTAGAAGACAAAGAAAATCATTACTAGATTATAATAATATTTTAATCGCACCTGCTGATAGAATAAATCATGTGTCTATCTTAAAAACTTTCAAGTATGAAATCCTACTAGTGAACTTGAACATCATCTAAAGAGTGAAATGTTTACAAAAGACTCACTGCGCTTAAATAAATGGTCTAGAAGGTCTAAACATTGAAGAAATGGGCGTGACAGTGAATTTCAGGTGTATAAACCCTAAATGTAGCGTTAGAGAGACCATAAGATGACGGACGATAAACCACAAGAACGTACATAGATATCACCCAGCTTATGAGAACAATTATTAGATTCTTGATTAAAATTCAACATATTTTGACTTGCCAAGACACTAATTGTTCACACCTCATTTTTCCATTATTTGTTAGTTTTATATTAGAAGTTTGAGAAAAGAAGACTTACATATAACACTGAAAAACAAAAACAAAAAATAATAATACTTTTGAGTACTGCTACATGCAATATGTTTCATAACCACCTGAATGATGAACGACTTCCGTTCCTGGATGTTCTCATAAAACATAAAGAAACAGCAAACTGATTACCCAAACACACAAGAAGATGAAGGCGAATACCTAATACCACTAGGAGATAACCAAGTCTTACGCTAAATCAATGCTGTGCAATCAAACTTTCAATAGCAAACAAGACAAAAAATGTAACCTCTCAAGCAACAAGGAAAGAAATCTCTCGAAAAAAAACAAGAAATAAACAATTTAATATAGACCGGATAAAACAGCCCATTATCAGTTGTGATCATATGAATACCAGGGATAATAAAAAAACAAGAAATAAACAATTTAATATAGACCGGATAAAGCAGCCCATTATCAGTTGTGATCATATGAATACCAGGGATAATAAAAAAACAACACTGATCATAAGAAAGATGAAAAGTACTCCACACATTAGAACTAACAAAGACAGCATTTATCAACTCTGATTTGATACAACATAAAAATTACCTTGTAACAATCCAAATGTTGCCCAGTTTACATGCCTGCTTATATAATGTTTAAGAATTTCTACTCTTCATTTTCCCGACACCGATGTACAGAACTTGGAAAAGACCTGTTTCATTTTTTAACTCACATTATGATACAACAAATAAAATATAGTTGAATCGCCATATAACCCTTCTTATTGGAGGCCGGTGTTGCCCTGGCAAAGAATAGCGTCCCCTAACGAGATCCAGCTACAAACATTTTGGAAATTTTAACAAAACTATTCTATAAATTCGACACCACGAAGTTCAACAATGCAGACCTTGGTACAAAATCAATAACAAACTACATTGTAAGCAAAGTAAAAAAAGACAAAGGAAATGGTTAAAATTGCTGTAAAGGGAAGGTAAATATGTGGTCAGTATTTCGCGCTACGTACGACTGACTGCATATTTGTTTTTCATTCAAAACGGTTTTAATTGTTTTTTGTATTTTGAAATACAAATCTTATTAGCTGTTCCGGAACGTTTTTAAACATTAAAAAATGAAATTAAACGACACAAATCATGGAAGATCTTTCAGAACTGTTTTACAACACGAAAATACGAAACTCGACAATACTGACTTTGCAGATGTTTCAAAATTATTTTAAACATGAAAATACGAAATTCAACACTATTGACTTCTGCAGATGTTTCAGAACTGTTTTAAACATGAAAATATGAAACTCAACACTACTGACTTTTGCAGATGTTTCAGAACTGATTTAAACATGAAAATATGAAACTCAACAATACTGACTTTTGCAGATGTTTCATAACTGTTTTAAACATGAAAATATGAAACTGAACAATACTGACTTTTGCAGATGTTTCAGAACTATTTTAAACACGACTATCGCGGAAATAGTGAATATGTTTTAATACATGGAAGGAAAGACTGAGCTTAGCTATAAATACGAAACTTGATCACGTACTTGGTTAAAGCATCTAGATCAGGGGTTCCCAACCAGGGGTGCGAAATGAGGGTCCAGGGGTGCGCGGAAGAGGTCTAGACAAGGTCCGTTTTCCCCCATATGTCGCCAAGTGGAAATGACTAATGCACACTTTTTAGAGTAGAGGGGCGAGGGCTTCTTTGGGAGGTGCAAGGGCCACGAAAGGTTGGGAACCACTGATCTAGATGTTCAGGTATACTTGTTTTGTAAACTTAAATATGATGGTTAATGTCTAGTTAAAAAGTTGTCTGTGTCATTGTACCCGGTAGATGTAGAAAAATATACTCATTGCAAGTACAGTATTTCAATGATTAACTCAACTATTGACTGCAAGGAACCTATATGTGTTTTGTGTGTGTGTGTGTGTGTGTGTATGTGTTTTTTTATAGCAAAGCCACATCGTCCTCTCTGCTGTGTTCACAGAGGGGAATCAAACCCCGTGATGTTAGTGTTGTAAATGCTTAGGTGACACAAGTAACCTACCTCCTCTTATACGCACATCTCTACTACCAAGTGTTCCCACGATGTTGGAAGCAATACAACTGTATGTGGCATCATGTATGTCGGGCCTATAATTTTCGCTCCGAAACGACGGGAAGAAAAGTGATCCGTCTGGCCGGACGTGACGTAATCCAGGTACATCTCTTATGTCACTTCCGTCCCGATGCGTCCAAGTTACACGAGGAATAGGACTGCCTCGCGCCGAACAATGAACCACTGTGTCGGTGTTATTGTCGAATTCAACAAGTGATGGCGGTTCGTGGACAAACCGTGGTCCTAGACGGTCTGGCGATGAGGCAACACAAAGCTCTGGAAGGCAAATCAACTATCAAAAAGTTTGCATGAACGACAAAATTAAAAATATCTTAAAACATAAAAAAAAAAATTCGAAAAATTTGTAATTAAGCACAAAGCTACACAATGGGCTATCTGTGCTCTGCCCACCACGGGAATTGAAACCCAGATTCTAGCGTTGTAAATCCACAGACATACCGCTGTGCCACTGGGGGACGATTAAAAAGATTCTGGCTTCTTTATGATAATTATAAGGCACATCTAAAATGGGGATAAAAATGTCTCTGCTTGTGAATGTTTCTAAAAGTAGGTCTGCATCAAGTTTATCAGAAATTCCACGTGCTTTCTGACATTCTAGTTATTGGCTTCTATATATATAGTTTGAACTGCTGCTTGGTAAGTACTGTATTTATTTAGTTAATGTGTGCATTTTATGGATACTGTCTTTATTCTTTTGACCACACGAATTTATGGGTAGCACATCTCCCATTTTACACATTCCTTAACGGTTGCATGTTTATTAACTATGTTATACGACCTTTCAGGGACATTCCTTTTATTAGTTAAACATGGATTTTATTTCTAAATAACCTGATTTTTAAAGGTATCATCATGCTTCTTATATGACAAGATATCTAAGGATGCTGTCATGATTCTTACACGACATGCTTTTTAAGGGTACCATTGTGGTTCTTACATGACATTATCTTTACGAGTACTATCGTGGTTCTTACACGACACGATTTTTAAGTGTGTTGTCATGATGCTTATTTGACATGCCCTAAGGGTCTAAATTAATAATCATATAAGGCATGGCTTTCAGTGATGCAATATTTGTTTGCTGTTTAAGCAAACATCATAGGAGTGAATTGATTGATTCCTTACACGAAATTAACTTTAAAGGAGCTTTTTGCATCCTGGTAATATTAGGCTAATTCCTTCTTGTTATCACTGGCTGCTTCCATGAATACTCATTCAAGCACGACCTGGATTAATAATGTTTGGAAATGCTTTTTATATTTCCTGTAATATAAGGTTTTTAGGATATAAAATTGTCTTATTTTGTTAGATCTTAAACTTTTATTTTTAGTTTTTTTGTTGCATAATGGTTAGGATGTAATTGTTAGATTTATTATTACATGGTCTTTAGGGGAATATTGTTATTTCTTTTATTAAACAATATTTCGAACTATGTCTCAACTTACGTTATTACCTTTTCTTTAGGGTGCATTTTTAAAATCTATTATACAGTCATAGGAGGGTTCTATTTATTCCATTTATTGCACGATATTTAAGATGTTAACTTTATACAATTATTACACAATTTTTAGGATTTCTTTTATAATTCCTCAACTACGAGATTTTGAAGACACTGGCTGTAGCTCTTACTTACAAAAAAAATGTAATTTATTTTGTTTAATTATTTTCTGAATATATCAACTTTCTTTAAATCTGTTGTCGCTAAGAACGTACGGCACACGATTCTGTTTACTCAGAAATACTTTGTAAAACTAATGTAATGTGTCATTTAACAATTAATCTCCTCGTTCTACGTTAGCTTAAATTTAATTTTCTATTTCAGCGGCCTTACTCCAATAAAAACGTCAATTTTCGAGCACTGTAATGTATAGTATCCAAGGGACAAAAAGTAATTCTATTGCCAGAAGTGTGCGGCTGATCACACTGTGTTGTTAACCGCCTTTTCTCCCTCTTTTTTTTTTCACTTAGGTGATTGGATTGTATGCAGTGTTACCTTATTTATAAGATTAACCAGAAAAATTTTTCAAATAAAAAAAAGGAGATTCAAAGTTAATCACTCTAAAGACTAGAACGTCGGTTTTTCCCAACTTTCCGTCGTTACACTGTAATTTTTACACAAACCAGCACCGTTTTTCTATTTTATTGTAGCTGTTATTCATTAGGGTTTACAAAACCTGTTAAAAACACGTCCTGTTTTTCTCGCAAGGAAATTACCAACCAAGAACTGATGAAACAATCTAAACACTGCCGTGTTGAACTTTATAGATAACTTAAGTTTAGTGTGAGAAAAATTAATCAGTACTTTATGAAAGAAACGTAAAAGCAGATTGCAAAGAAAATACTATAGGATTTTACAGAACTGTAAAAGCAGGTTGCAAAGAAAATGCTATAGGATTTTACAGAACTGTAAAAGCAGGTTGCAAAGAAAATGCTATAGGATTT